CGGACAGGGCTGGGTGCGGGCAGGGCGCCTGCCGGCGTTTGAAGGGGGGGGGGCGAGCGGGAGAGGAGCTAAGCACTGGGTCGGGGGGTGCAGCTCGGCCCCCCCCCACAGCCAGGGCCAAGAGCCAAAGCCGCTGGGTCCCCCCAGCCCAAGACTTGTGACAGGCAGCACAAGTCTCCCACGGGAGCCCCTCACCTGCAGCAGAGGTCATGTCGGGGAGCGTTTAGCATCCCCCCAAAGATGGAACGTGCTGGGAGCATCGCTGAGCACCGAGGGCAGAGCGAGCCCAGATGAACACACAGCTCCTCGGCCCGGGTGTGCATGTTCGTGCTGCACTGCACAGGGCTGACTGGTGGGAGAAAGCTGGGATCCATCTGTCACCTGTCCTGTGGCACTTCCAGCACCGCCACTGTCTGGGCACGAGTCTAGGTGTCCTATTTTTGGACTCTGGCATTTGCACAGGAGGAGCAAGGTGCTAGGAATTGGTTGCCTTCTTTACCGAGTTAGAAAGCAAAGGTGTTTAGGATGGCAAGAGCCAAGCAGGCTCTGGTCTGAAGCAGGAGCTGTGGCATACTGCAAGTTAGAAGGGAGCCAGCAGCCAAGAGAGCTGGCAGTCTTATTCAATACTCCTGCTGAGCGAGGTAGGTGCTGAGCTTTAGAGATCATGCTGGGTAAGACAGAGCCCAGAAGCAGCATTTCAAGTCTTGTCATGATTGCAGCTGATCTCGGTGCAAAGCCAGGGATTTTGATTGCTAGTGGGGGCGAAGAGGGAAAAGCAAGAGAGCTTTTCCCAGTTGTCCAAAGGCTGCTGAGCAACGCAGGGGGAGGTGTCCTAGCACAGCAGCCCTTGGGCTGCACATCGCAGGGGTGATGGGGTGCTTTCAGCAAGCTGCTGCCAGAACAAGGGAGAGACAGGTGGGCATCTGGCTCTTGCACAGGGATGCAAGAGGGGATGGAGAACACTCTATCCCAACCCCAGAAGGAGTTAAAAGTGAAGCCCTAAGTGCTCACCTGGATCCACCAGATCTTTCACCATCTATTTGTGTCCAAGTGTGCCCAGCAAACACACACTGAAGTCCCCATGAATGACTGGAGCGCTTCCAGCTGACAGCCGCATCCCTGCTCACCGCCAATGGCAGTGCACCCAGCCTGGGAAGCACTGACATCATTTCTGGCCAATAGCAGCTCCGAAAAGGGATGCAGCAGCAGCCGCTGCTGCCGTCTTGGACTGAGATAAGTAATATATAGATGGATGGAAATGTATGTATCCACACACCCCATCACTGCACTAGAGACCTGCTCCCCCAGGGCAGCGGTAGCAGTGCTCTCCACCACCCCACCACACAACCTGGGGCACTTGTCCCATCTTAGAGCACCCAGATGTTCCCAGCCATTAGCCCCAGCTGCATCCCACCCCTGCCAGACAGACATAATTGCTCCAGAGATTCCACAAAGGAGCACAAACAAGGGGAGAAGAAACCCTGTGGGTAGCCAGGACCAGTCCTAAGAAGGGCTTTGAATGCCAGGACAGAGATTCTGAGTCAAATCTGTCTTCAGTGGGTACTAGTGGAGATGTGGCATACCCAAGAGATGCTGTCAGTCACCCATGGGGTGCACAGATGGGCTGATGCCTTCTCAGAGGCCATTTACATGCCCAGTCATTGTGGGACAGGACAGGGGAACAAGTGATTTCTTTTCCATATAGATATCAAGAACAGTAGGATGGACTGGCTCATAGCAGAGCACGCAGACGAAGAGTAAGCCCATAACAATCTGAGGGCTGTTTGTGGTGGGATTTTCTCGTGTTCACGCGGGATGGACTAACCATTCTTGGGTGGTACCCGGCAGCTGGGCTGGTGAGCGCAGCAGCCCTGCACTGGGCAGACACATGGACCCATCCTCAGATTTGCCATGATGCTGGCTGTCTCTCAGCAAGGACATTTGCTCTGAAATACTTCCCTGAAGCAGCCCATTGCCAGGCACAGAGGAAGCAGAGAAGACTCCTCACATGATTCTGGGCCTTTCCCCATACACCTGCTCCAAATGGCTTGTTACTCCATTTCCTCCCAGCTTTGCTTCCCAGGCCCCACATCTGCTCTGACAACAGCCAGAACAGGGATGGAAAACTCCAGAAGGGGCTGGGATTTCCCTAGCCAGGGTCCCAGCCCAGGGCAGGCAGCACAGGAGCAGGAGGGAAAGCAGATGCGCTCGGTGCCCCGAGGTTAGAGAGATGTTATCGGAGCGGGGTGGGGTGCGCATACACCTTGCTCTCCACGCTGACTTCATCCTCAGCTTCAACTCCTCCAGATCTGGGAGGGGAGAGCAGGAAAGCAGGCTGCAAATCACTCCTGTTTCATAAGATTACCTTTGCAAGGAGAGAAAGCCAAATGCCAGCCTTTGAAGATCTCCTTACAGCAGAGAGCAACAGCCACCGTTTTACATGAACCACAGCTGTCGGCACCCTCCATCCCCGCAGCTCCTGCCCTTCCATTGCCAGTTCCACTCCTTGCCCCTCGGCTGGGACCAGAGGCGCTTCCCCCCAAGACAGCAGCAGGGAGAGTCGGAAAAGAGGGCAGGGATGGAGACCCCCAGGATTTGCCTCCTCGTGGGGGCTGCCCCCGGTGCACGGTGGCACCGGAGGATTCCCCAGCCCTGGGAACAGCCCATTAGGGCCCTGAACATGAGGGAAGAGCTCTCCTTTCTCCAGCCAAGCCAGCTTGGCTGCTCGTTGGGATTCCGCAAGCAGAGCTTGGCATCATCTCTGGCAGCTCCTGAGCTGGTTTGTCTGGTGCGGCTGGTTCGGAGAACCACTCTAATCCTCATTTCTTCCCACTCAGCTGGAAGAGGCCTTGGGGCTCTCCATGCAGGAGCCAGCCCCACACACTTGAGCGAGGTGCTCGTGGAAGTCATGGCTTTTCCCTGCACCCAGGCCACTAGTATGCAAGACCTCATGCCAGGCTGTACATCTTTTGCTATCCCCTTGGCACAGCCGAGAGCGCCAAGCGGTGCCCTTTCCAGCACGGCGCTCAGACATCCGCTTACACGCTGCTGACAGCACCCGGCTGGCCCATGCCGCCTCGCCATGCCGTGCCTCGCCGGCACCC